TTCTGAGGAAATTCGGCGATCTTAAGTTTATCGAGCATAAAGAGTTCACACATACTTCTTTGAAGTTATCGATAAGATATTTTATAAAGAGCAGTAAGCTTAACTAGAACAAAAAAAAAACTAGAACTTCTTACCGACTCGAAAGTTGTCCAGTGCCGAGGTTCAGCGATAGTTTACAAACGTGCGCCGGGGACGGTGACATCACTGTGACCAGCTACACCAGAACGGACATATCTCGCATCTAACTCAACCACATGCAACAAATTTGATAACCAAGTGTTCATTATGGCCCGTTCTTCCTCGACGAACAAGTACATAAGTGACAATTTAGTCAAAGACGAGAAAACTGCACAAGAAATTTGCCTTTTTTACACGTATCGGCAATGCAAGCTGCCATGCGACTTCCCTTTCTGACGTCACAAGGGGAATTTCTGCATGGAAATGAATAGCTAATGAGGAGCCTCGTTTTAAAATACAAAAAATAAAGTTGCTGTAGACTGAGTTCAAGACGCATTTTTTCACTTAAAAAAAAATAATTTATGCTTAGAAACATAAAAATTAATAATATTTATGTATTAATTGATAATTTTAGGCGTGAAAATAGCAGCCATTTCACAGGCACTTTAAAGACCCCCTCCCCCTTCTCTCCTGTTTGTAACCTGTTTCTGGTAGCAGCTACTGTATGTGTATATTAGTCTGAAAACATGTGTCGCTTATATCAATGAAAAGCAACTCAGAGGGCCGTTCAGTTAATGACATACGAGTGAAGGAATAGTTTTTGTGTCATCCATTTCTAACATGGAAGCACTTTGCCACTAGATGGCCTGATTTAAGGTAGAAGCCTACTCATAAATTAAAAAACCCAGAATTTATTCATTTTGCAATAAATTGTACTCCAAGGCAATATAAGGATATTGACCTAAAAAAAGTTGGGTGTCACCAGCCTTTTTTTCGAGAAATTGATAGTTGTATTTTAGTAGAAAATCACCATTTTGACACTATTATAACACTTTTACCACAGGTTTCTATGGTAGAGATATTATGCAATATCTCAAAATCTAGCCTGGTGACATAGGCTGAAAAAAATCATATATTGTTAATGATGGAGTACTTTTTGTTGTTCTAAATTATTTAAAAAATGTCAAAAAATGCAATTTTTCTTTTTGTTCTATGGAATTGTTCTAAAAAAAGCAATTTTCAATACACGTTTCTCAAAAAGCATAACTGTAACACGCAAAATAATGCTATTTCATTGTACCATGGGACATTAGCTTCATGATTGCACATAATAAACTAATGAATATTGTCATGCAATTTATGACCAATTTTGTCAAAAATTATGACTAGGCTTAAAGACAAAGTATATTGATTCATTTTTATAGAAAATACTTTTTTATCTATAGGTGGCGCTGTTAACGCACATAGCAGGTAACTACCTTAATGCTGGAGTAGAAGCTAAACGTTGGGGAACCGGACACGGAAGCATAGTTCCTTACCAGGTGGGTCAATGCTGTGCACAATATGCAATTCTAATTTCTCTGGTTTCTCAAGAAAATTGTTATTGAAATATAGTATAAATGGTAGATGGTATACGATTTGTTATTTCTGAATCTAGTTTTATTGGCTACCTGATATCTTGAATGCTTTGACTCTTCGCCATGTTATTGCAGTTGCATATACCGGTGATAAAAGAATCAGTAATTGCAGACAGAAGTATTTTTTTAGGATACATGTCAATCAAACAATATGTAAGTTTTGAATAAAATTAATTTTAGGGGTCTTGTTAATCGGCATTGTTACCTCTATTGTACTTCTAGGCTTTCAAGACCAAAGATGGGTTTTACCTGATTGTTGGCGCTGGTAATGATAAACATTTTTCAATTGTATGTAAGGTAAGAAAAAGTTTAGTCTATTTCGTGGTGTGTCTGACATATTTTTTAGTTAAACGTTGACAGATTTTGTCCAAATTTGAAACAAAGGCAGAATATAATTGAATGTGTTTTGCCCTTTTTTGAGTTTTTTACCTATACAACATAAACTCTGATAAATGCGAGATGCTATCAATTCAGGAATTGATTCTATTGTCTTATTTCCATAGTAACCATTTTGGCTTTTTACAGCTACTGTCATTGGAATTTTTATTGGAAGATAATCGATACAAAGGGAATCATATGAGAGTGGAAAACAGAAACACTTTGATAACTACGATGTCAGATAGGTAAGCCCATCTTCCTGCTTTCTCAAGTGCATGTATCACTATCCACATGACAAGTTTCAGTCACACATACAAATGTATAACCATACTCATTCCTCAAACACTTTTTGTATGATTTTGTTCAAATTTTTACAAAATTTTACAAAGGCAAGGTATATTGTTTTGCAGATGCATGTCAGTTTTGATTTTAATTAAATTTAACTGACAGTAATTTTCATTTTAAAACACAAAGTCACACAAGGTAGGATTCAACCTCTTCACATTTTGATCTGTACTAGAGTAGGATTAGAACTTTGCACCAATCGCCACTACACTTCTGGTGATTCTCCATATATGGTAAGGATAGTGTGAAGCTACATCCATATATGGAGACGTTCATTTGCATGTAGTGATCATTCTCCATATTTGGTAAGGATAGTGTGAAGCAACATCCATATATGGAGACGTTCATTTGCATGTAGTGATCATTCTACATATAAGGTAAGTATAGTTTGAAGCTACATCCATATATAGAGACTCTCATTTAAATGTAGTGATATTAATAAGGATAGTTTGAATTCTCATTTAGCTTACATCCATATATGGGGACACTCATTTGCATATTGCACATCACAGTGTTTTAATATTCTTTTGGCATTTCAAAAATATTGTATGTGGTTGAGAATACTTGAGAGAGTCGACTAGTATGTATCGGTAGTTTTATTACTGTAATGATGTTATGCTCTTGTCCATAGATTTTCCCAGAAGTCGTTAAAAGAATGGCTTGATATCTTTGAAGGTTGTGGTATTCCCTATGGTCCAATTAATAACATGCAGCAAGTATTCAATGATCCACAAGTACAACACAATAATATGGTGCAAGAAGTTCAGCATGCTACCGTAGGAAATGTCAGAATGACAGGTTAGTTGTGTATTGAGTTGAACGTGGGTAACAGTATTGTAGTTAATTGGGGGAGTAACCTTACCCAGGGTAAAATTGTCAGGTTAGTGACCTAATCCAGGGGGTATGCATGCATTTGTCAGTTTTAAGATTAGTGACCTTACCAAGGCTACAGTTTTAAGATTAGTGACCTTACCCAGGCTACAGTTTTAAGATTAGTGACCTCACCCTGGCTACAGTTGTCAGACTAGTGACCTTACCCAGGCTACAGTTGTCAGACTAGTGACCTTGCCCAGGTTTAAGTTTTAAGATTAGTGACCTTACCCAGGATAAAGTTTTAAGATTAGTGACCTTACCCAGGATACAATTTTAAGATTAGTGACCTTACCCAGGCTACAGTTTTAAGATTAGTAAGCCTACCCAGGCTACAGTTGTCAGACTAGTGACCTTACCCAGGCTACAGTTGTCAGAGTAGTGACCTTGCCCAGGTTTAAGGTTTAAGATTAGTGACCTTACCCAGGATACAGTTTTAAGATTAGTGACCTTACCCAGGCTACAGTTGTCAGGTTATTGATCTAACCCAGGGTACAGTTT